GGAGGGGGGGAGGCGGAGGACGAGGAGGAGGAGGAGGAGGCGGCAGCGGGGGGAGAGCGAGCGAGGGAGGGAGGGCGCGCTCGGCGCTGCTGACGTTGCCGCTCCCCGGACCCTCCCTCGTGATTTTCGCCCCCGGCCGCCGGGAGCGGAGCCGGGGCCGGAGCCCGCGGGGAGCGCGGGGTCCAGGCTGGGGCGGGCGCGGCGCTGAGCGGCTCCCGGAGCCCGTCCGAGCGACTTGTTTACTCTGCGGGCCCCGCTGCCGGCATGCAGCGTGCCCGGTCCTCGGCGAGCCCCGCGTCCCGCCCGCCGCCCCGGCTTGACAGGGAGCGGGGCGTCCCGCGGGCTGCCGCCGCCCGGCCCAGTGTCCGGACAGAGGTGTTTGTCTCTGTGGAAAGTTGTTGGCCCTGTCATTTAGTTAAGTAATGGCTGCTCCTGTCGGCCCAAGATGGCCGGACAGGGAGGAGAAAGAGAAGGGGGGGGAGGTAAACACGAAACAAACACCGGGAGCGAATATGGGGAGCGTGGAGCCCCCGGTGAAGGCTGAGGGAAACTCTCCTGCGCATCCCAAGTTCTTCCTGGGCGCTTTCCTGCTGCTTCGCAGCGCCGGTGCCCTCCTTATCAACCTGTAGCACGTTCTGCTGCCCATCCGTGGGCTGCTGACAAAGGCTGTGCGGGCCGAGTGTCTGCCAGCTGTGCTTAAAACACCACACGCCAGGGAAGCGTTCGGGTAGCAGAATAAGTGGAAGTGTTTTTGAAATGCTACGCGGCTGTAGCAAAGGGGGACAGTGCTGCTCGGGTTCCTGCTTCCTGGCTTGTTCCTGTCAGTAGTCTGGCGTTTGACACTGCTCATCCCATTGTTGTGCCCGGAGTGTATCGTGGAGAATTTTTATTTTTTTTTCTGTCGCTGGTCTGAAGATTTGACTCTAAAGTGTGTTGAATTGGATAGCCTAGGCCTGTGCTTGTGTTTGGGTGTTTATTTCTGGCAGGATTGGAAAAGCTCAATGTCAGGACGTGGGGGGAGGGGGGGGGATGGAAGGAAAAGCAAGCACACTTTCCTTTCTGCTTATATTTAAGGTGTTTGGGTGTTTATTTCTGGCAGGATTGGAAAAGCTCAATGTCAGGACGTGGGGGGAGGGGGGAGGGATGGAAGGAAAAGCAAGTACACTTTTCTTTCTGCTTATATTTAAAAAGAAAAAAATCTCGCGGTTTCCTTTCGATTTTCAGAGTTATTTATAAGAGCACTTCTTCCCATTAATCAAAAAGGTAGGGGAGTGACATGTCAAACCAGTTAAATAATGTACATTAACTGTTGGTGGACCAGAACTCGTGCCTGCTGTGTGAATGCTGCTGAGGCTATTGGAAATATTAGACCGAATCCCGTATGGGATAGAGCTTAAGGGTGCCAGATAGAAAATAAAAGCTTCACATCTAATTAGATCATCTGTCGCATAAAATCCCTGCTTTAAGTTTTATTTTGCGTACTGTGAAATGAAGTGGCGCAAGGACCAATTCAGCCTCTTAGTTTTGTGCCTTTCTTACGTATAACGCTTTTTAAAAAATGCCAGTCAATTGTAATTTTAGGATATAGGATCTGAAGTTGTGGGGCATTTTGATAGTTTTGAAATACGTTTTCAGAAATATCTATGTATCTTCTTTTACTGTATTAAACTGCGAATCCGTGCAGTGAATACTAAAAAAATCCCCAAGCAAACCAAATATTTTGCTATTTCACCTCAGTTTTCGGATGGTGTTTTGTACGTTCATGAATTGCACGGTAACTCACAAAGCACGTTCTTTGTAAAACTTGTCTCTGAGAAAGGTAGATTATTTAAGGAAGTAGAAGGATTAAAACGTTGCTGTTCAGTGCATAGATGTTCAAGAGGAATTTCTTGGTTTGAACCAGTTTCGGTTTTGTTTGTGCTTTTTACTTTGAAGGAACGTGCTTGTGTTTCTGTTACTGCTGAGAAGTTGTTATTTTTAAGGTATTTTCTGCTTCGTTCCTGTTCTGTGTGAAGCTTTATGCAATTTGTGCTCTATTGAGGGTTTTAGAACAATTAATCTAACAGACCACTTTAATTCAATGTAGCAGTTATTTTTATAGCAGAAACTGTGGCCGAATATATGTGCAGTTAATTAATAGGTTTTACAGCGATAGCAACAAAATGTTTCCTTTTGTGCATGGAGCAACAACAGCTAACAAAGACCCTAGACTACATAATTATGAAATCCTGACTGACTGATTTAAGAATCTACAAGGCAGCACGTTACAGTGTGAGATTTATGTGCCAGTGTAGCAGGTAAGGAAAACCATTGAGTCATGTTTCCAGAGGAATCCTTCACAAAGGCAGAAATCTATCAGTGCTCCCCTCGATGTGAGAGGAGCACACCTACTATTGAACCTTTTCCAGGGGCTGCCAGGCTGGAGCAGGGTCTGGGAGCCTCACGGGAGGTTCTGGCTTGTAATATTTGGGGAACAGCTCCCTTCCCTTCCTGGCTACTTGTGCAGTCTGTTCTGGGCTTAAATTTGGTGCCTGGGTGCAAGAAGACCCTCCTTATTTTTGGTGGGGTTCACTAAGGTGTGCATTGGCTTGGAGGGGAATTGCAGGAGGCCTTAGTAGTGGGAACTTTGGTTTAGCAAAGCCACACCCTGACAGGATTTAATAATAAGAAAACTGGGATCTCTTTGAGGGATGGAGGAAGCTTCGTGTCCAGAGCTTTAATTTAGTTGTGGGTTCTATTTGTGCTGCAGGTCTGCAGTCCCCCGTTTTTTGGTGGTTTTGCTTTGTAGGATGTATGAGCTGTAGTATTGTGAACTGAGCCAAGCTGTGCTGCTGGGTATAGCAAATCAAAAGAGCAGCTACGACGTGAGTTCTGTACAATTTTATGAATTATTTGAAGGTATAGACTAAGACTCAGGAATATTGTAATGTTGCCCCACGTATTGGGTACGTGATAAGCCAAAAGAAACTTTGTTGTAATGGTGTACATGCTGTATGTCTGACAAAGGAATGGAATTTTCTGTTGCCAAAAATTTTGCGTTTATTTTGCAGAAAAAGGAGCTTGAAAATCATAGTTTGCAGTTAGCGTGGTTTTGGGAAAGAGGGCAGGGAAATTAAGAGATCACCTTTCAAACTGGTTGAAATGCTGGAAATCCAACGTAGTCAGTCTTGTGCTGGAGAAAGTGCTCACTGTTGTGCTTCCGTAGTTGACAGGAACATTAACGTGAAGGAGGAAAAAAACCCCCAAAACAAAAACCCTGCTGGTGTCTTGATGTCTCTTTCTCCCAGGAAGGCATTCTAGCGGGAGGTGAAGCTTAAAGATTACTTGAGGGGGGAGGGTGAGGATATCCATTGTATTGGAAGTGAATTGCAAAGCATTTCCTTTTTTTCTTCCTTTTTTTTTTTTGATGATGTTTCCAGTGTTTAGCCAAAGTTGACTTGATTGCAGTGACAAACCATCGTTTCATAAGCTGTAATTGGCATCTATACAGATGTAGGTTGATGTAGCTGGTCTGATGTATTGGGTATAAGATGCCTGTTAATTCCTATTCATTGAGTTTAATCAGTTTGTCATATCCTGTGGACAAAAACTGAAGCATGTTTCCATTTAAAAGTATT